AAGAAGAAGAGAAGAAGAGATTGGATTTATACCCCGCCCTTCACTACCCAGAGGTGTCTCAGAGCGGCTTACAAACTCCTTTCCCTTCCCCTCCCCACAACAGACACCCTGTGAGGTGGGTGGGGCTGAGAGAACTCTGACACAAACTGCTCTTTTTCAAGGACAGCTGTGCCAGAGCTTGTGACTGACCCAAGGTCACATCAGCAGGTGCAAGTGGAGGAGTGGGGAATCAAACCCGGTTCTCCCAGATTAGAATCCGCACACTTAACCACTACACCAAACTGGCTCTAGATTGCAGAGGACACCAACAGGGTATTTGGGGCTTCCAAATGGGCCAGCGTCCTGGGCGATCATTAGAGAGGAAGTGCCCCCCTGATCCTTACCAGCCTGGTTGGTAGTGATGTTGACTGAAGCAAACTGCGGCGAGAAGGGGCTTTGGTCGGTGACACCGTTCACCGCCTGGATCTCAAAGGTGTACTGGGTGTGGGCCAGCAGGTCGCTGATGTAGACGCGGGGTTCCGTCAGGCCCAGCTGGCGCGGCGTGAATTGCACGTTGTCCCCGCAGCGGGTGCAGGCCCCCCGACCCGAGCCGCAGCTCTTGCAGATGATGTTATAGACCAAATCCTCACGCCCCCCCGAGTCCCGGGGCGGGCCCCATTCCAGCATCAGCGAAGTCTCGTTCACGCTAGAGATGACCGCCTGCGGGGCTGATGGGATGGCTGTGGGGAGGACAGAGAGAACCGGAAAGTGAAAAGGCAAAAGAGCAGAGGACCTCCTTTCCCCCAGACAGTGCGAGCAGGTCCGGAACATTTGGTAGGACAATCCTCCCCACCCGTTTGTCCCTGGCTCAGAGGCATCAGCCACACGATAAGACTGCATGCACACATCACCTGCCCCTAAATCCACACAATGAGCAAGACCAGGGTTCTGGTACAAGATATGCCCATTAGGCTATTCACATGGAGGCTTCGTCGTGTGACTCAGCCCCACACGAAACCACGAAGGATGAGGCCTACACCTCCACCCCTCCCTCCCTATTGGGGGCAACGTACTGGTGCAGGGCATGTCCAGTGGATCGGAATCTGCCCGATAGTAGCTGTTGCGGCAGACGCAGTTGGTGGCGCCTTCTGACGTCGTCCGGCTGTTGATGGGGCAGTGAACGCAACCCTCATCCCCCTGATTGGCTTTGAACGTCCCAGAGGGGCAGCCTGGAATGAAAGAAACAAACAAACAGAGAAAACAGCCCATCAAGAAGTGAAATCTAGGGAGGTGTGGGGCCTGCACATACTTTCAGAAAAAGCCACAATATCCACTTCTGAGCAATGACAACTGATGACTGCCAGGCACGCTCATAGCCCTGGGGACCTGCCCTCCTCCCGCCCCGAGATATTTCAGACCTCTTCTGTTTGCTGCTTAGAAGCACGCCAATGTGGCGCAGTGGTTAGAGTTTCAAGCTAAGACTGGGGAAACCCGGGTTCGAATCTCTCCCCAGCCACAGAGCTCACCAGGTGACGTTGGGCCAGTCATGCTTTCTCTCAGCCTAAACCTACCTCATCGAGCTGTTGTAGAAATAAAATGCCATACACCCAGGGGTCATTTCCTGCAGGAGCGTGCAGGAGCAGAGCTCCGGCAGTAAAGAGCCCAGGAGGCGGGCACATGCAACAAGCCCCACCCCCTACTCCCAGCAGCCCTCAGCCAGAGCAAGAAGCAGCCAGGTAAGTTGCAGTGATGTCAGGGGGTGTGGCATATGCAAATAAATTATGCTAATGAGTTATGCTAATGAGCTCCTGCACCTCTTTTTCTACGAAATGACCCCTGCATATACCTATGTCACCCTGAGCTTTGATTAAAAAAAACGAGACAGAGTTAAGAAGTGATAAGGAAAACAAAACAAAACAAGCAAGCAGTATTTTGCTCAGTCATCCACCAAGAAGCAAACATACCTCTGCCTTCCAGTATTTTGGCTACTCTATACAAAGCACTGGGATAACTGGCAAGTTCTTATGTTAAAGTGTACATAATTGCTTACCATTTTAGGAATACATAATGCAAAACTTGGAAACCCACAGACTATCTGAAATCAGGCTCCCTGTGTCCTACCTAGATTCCTCCTCATGTCACCTTTGGCAACTCAGTACGCAATTTCGGGTCACAAGAGAGGCAGGAGTGGGTTCCAGGTGTCCAAGCAATCTCCAGACTATAGAGATCAGTTGCCCTGGACGAACAGGCAACTTTGCTGGGTGGACTCCATCATATACTATAGTCTTGGAGAAACTGAATTCCCTCCACAGGCACCACCCCCAAGTCTCCAGGAATTTCCCAAACCACAGCTGGCACCCACTGGCACAGGAAGGGATGTGGCGTCACATCCTCTGCTTGCCCACACCTCAACCCATGCTTCCAAATGCTCTGCACTGCGGGAATCCCAGCTTATTTTGAAAAAGAAGGCAGAGGAGGAGGAGGAGGAGATTGGATTTATACCCTACCCTTTACTACCTCAAGAAGTCTCAGTGTGGCTTACAATCTCCTTTCCCTTCCCCTCCCCACAACAGACACCCTGTGAAGTAGGGGGGGCTGGGAGAGCTCTTTTGAGAACTGCTTGTGAGAGTACAGCTCTGAAAGAACTTGTGACTGACCCAAGGTCACACCAGCAGCTGCATGTGGAGGAGTGGAGAATCAAACCCGGTTCTCCCAGATTAGACTCTGCGCTCCTAACCACTGCACCAACCTGGCTCTCATTTACAGACCATCTTTCAATTAAAAATGAACGAATAAAAGTCCTCAAGGCAGTTTACAGCATACCTAAGAGATACAACAAAGCCATTTTAAAAAATAAAATAAATCAAAACTATCCACCTCCGCTTCCAGACTTTGGTCCCACGGTGCCATGAACTGGTGCTGCTCAAACAGCCCAACTCAAACCCACCCCATGAAGCCAGCTGTTCGCCGCTCTTGGGGGAAGGAGTTCCACAGTCTGAGGGGGGCAACGGTCCAATAAGCCCTCTGCTGGGCTCTTGCCAGTTCCCACGTTTCCAAAGGGGAGGGCCCTCCAACAGAGCTCCCCGCACTGGCCGGTTCTTTGCATCTGCGTGCTCCCCTTCTGGCAGAGAGCCCTGGCGGAGCCCTGGCCTTTGCATTGTGTGTCTGTGTGCGGGGGGAGCAGACTTTCCTCTGTGTAACACGAAGACCCTCTTGCTCCCTCGACAGCCCAGGCAGTGCCAGTAAAAGCGATCACCTTACTTCTTTCCCCCATCTCTTAACCCCTTCACAATCCCGTCTCTAAGTCCGTCAGACCTCAGGGGCTGAAGATGGGCAGCCTTTCCCCTTTCGGCCGGAGCAGCTGCGAGGCAAAAAACGAAATCCTCAACCCCCCAACCCTAAATTGGTTCAAGAGGAAGGACCCACGCACACCTGGCCCGGGTCCTGGGGCCTTGTCCCCCGGCAACAGCTGCAATGCCAGCTTCAGGGCTCTCCTCGACCCTTTCCCGCTGCTTGTCAATGTGTCAGTCAAGCGATTTTACTTTGGGCCCGCTCTGGATCTTGTCCAGCCGGATGACTGTCAGGGACTACGCCAGGGGTGGGTTGAACTTGCTCAGTGGAGAACAAACGTCAGATGTTTGAGAGCCGCAAAAACAGGAGCAAAGATTACACATTTTTATTTTTAAAAATATGCAGCTCTGCTTTTGATTACCATTAATCATGAGACTGCCAAAAATAAAAACAAAAGGGGTGAAAACAGATATTGATAATGCTATTTGTTTGCTAATGATATTGATTTGTCTAAGAGAGAGAGAGAGAGAGAGAGAGAGAGAGAGAGAGAGAGAGAGAGAGAGACAAAGAAAGCAAATAGATGGGAGTAGGGTTGCCAAGTCTGACTTACCTTGCTGGCGGGGGACTCTGGGGTGGCTCCCGGTGTGTGCGCACGCCGCATGCACGTCACAGGGAAGTGACGTCATGACATCGGGCATGCTGGGGGCGGGGCCATGACCATAAAAGGGAAAACCATAGAGTTTTCCCTTCTATGGCCGTGGCCCCGCCCCCAGCGTGCCCGGTGTCATAACTATTTGTGGGAATTGCCTGGGGTGTGCACCTTCCAGCAGGCCATGTAACATATCCCTGGTTTTGACACACATATGAGAATGGGGAACACAGAGGAATATGCTGCAAATGAAAACTGGAGAACTTCAACTTTAGGGGTGAAAGGCAGCAATACTTGCCAGCTTCTAACCTTCTTTTAAGAGAAAGAAAACACGTGATCCCTCCTCCCAAATCATTCAGGCATTTTTTGAGATCTTAGAAGTTCATTAGAGGGCAATGGGGGGATTTATAATACCCTACAGCAGAGATGGCAAACCATTTAGAGACCGAGTGCCCAAACTGCAACCCAAAACCCACTTATTTATCGCAAAGTGCCAACTGAAGTTTTACTTTAGAAAAAACAACCCATACATTAACTTAAGATGATCCAAACAAAGTAAGGAACGCAATCCCAAATGCTTTCATTTACTTAAAATTATTTGGCAGAGAATTCCACACTTTAACGATGGTCTGGGCCTGGCTGGGGCGATGGCACACGTGCCCACAGAGAGGGCTCTGAGTGCCACCTCTGGCACCCGTGCCATAGGTTCGCCACCACTGCCCTACAGGTTCCTCCCCTCCCAACTCACTCCCTGCAATGTATGTAGAGCAATTGTGGTGTAATGGCTAGAGTTGAAGAAGAGGAGATTGGATTTATACCCCGCCCGTCACTACCCATAAGAGTCTCAGAGCGGCTGACAATCTCCTTCCCCTCCCCCTCCCCACAACAGACACCCTGAGGTAGGTGGGGCTGAGAGAGCTCTCTCGAGGACTGCTCTTGAGAGAACAGCTCTGAGGATCCACACCGTGCCCTGGAAGCTTGCCGGGTGACCTGAGGTTGGTCACAGACCCACTGCCTAACGTACCTCACAGGGTTGTTGTGCAGACAAGACGGAGGAGGGAAGCATTATGTTGCGAGCTGCTTTGGGGGCCCCTTAGGGGGAAAAGCAAGGCATAAATCGCTAAACAAAAAGAACACGTGTCTCTGGACTTCAGCTCTTTGATCCTTTCCCCCGCTGCCCTTACCAAAGAATTCTGATTAAGACGGGTAGCCGTGTGAGTCTGTCTGCAGCAGTAGAAAAGAGCAAGAGTCCAGGAGCACCTTAAAAGACTAACAAAATGTGTGGCAGGGTAGGAGCTTTTGTGACTCACCACCACTGAGTATCTGAAGAAGTGAGTAGTGACTCATGAAAGCTCATACCCTGCCACAAAGAATTCTGGAGAGAGAGAGGGAGGGGGGGGGGGGGGAAGCAGCCCAATTTGAGATTTGCAACAAGTCAACACCCAAAAGGGAAACAGATGGGAAAAGATTTTAATCTGCATAATTTGCTTTCTGCATTGATCTTGGGGTTTCTCGATGCAGAGCTGGGGAGGGAGAAATCTTCCCTGACACCAAGCGCTCGGCTGTCCATCCTGCCAGCCGCTGGGCAAAGACAGACTCTGCGTCTGATCAGCTTAGCTCGGAAATACCTTGTTGTGACTGTCTTCCAGGATGGGTCGCAAAGCCGCAACGTGCTTGAGACCGCGTTCGGTATGCTGCCCCCAAAGAAAAGAAAAAACTACAACCCCGTGTGGTTAGCAAGCATTTCGGGGTGCTCCTCAATGCATCCATAGTCCCCTCCCCCGTGGTGCTGGAAGGGTAAAGTGAGCAAGGGATATGGGGAAAGCGATGCAACTGTTGCGTGCACGATACACTGAAGTTACTCAAATGCAAGAGTGGTTTTCCCCCAAGTATGCCATCCCCCCCAAAAAAACAGGTATTCATCTTATATTTGCATACAAATCAAATCAAAGTTATGTCCAATGATAATGTGTTACTGTGTTTTTGTGAATAATGTTTTTGGTGATAATGATGCTGTTTTTGGTGCAGTGGTTAAGACCCTGGACTCTAATCTGGGAGAACCGGGTTTGAGTCCCCACCTCCTCCTCATGCAGCTGCTGGTGTGACCTTGGGTCAGTCACAAGTTCTCTCAGAGCTGTTCTCTCAAGAGCAGACCTCGAAAGAGCTCTCTCTCAGCCCCCACCTATCTCTCAGGGTGTCTGTTGTGGGAGGCGAAGGGAAAGAGAGAGCTCTTTCGAGAACTGCCCTTTCAAGGACAGCTCTGACAAAACCATGGCTTGCCCAAGGTCA